CAGATTGCAGAATTATATTGTTGTTGTTGTTGATGAGGTGATTATGTGCCCGTGTGGGGTGTGAGTGATTACAATGATTCGTGTGCCCATGTGGGATGTGAGCAATCACAGAAGTCATGTGCCCATGTGTGGTGTGAGCGATATTATGGAAATTTTGACGGGAATTGTGATCCTGAAATAGGGATCGAGTTCTAAAATAGGGACCAATGGTACCACATGCACTGAGTTGATTTGTGAGTCTTGATGCATTACATTTTAATTGTGTTTGTTGGTTTGTTGGATTTGTTGATATGTTGGTTGTGACTACTGTTGTATGGTTGTATGTTATGGAATGGATGTTTGTGCATGAATAATCTAATGCTTGCTTAATTATCATGCTTTCCTTTATCTAATTATGATATCTCACCCATTTTGTTTGAATGTGTCTTTACATGGATATCGTGCAGATAACTCGCAGTAGAGGATTTAAAACGAGTAGAAGATGAAGTGAATATAACTGGCATGTTGCCTTTACAAAGGGGAATGAGTGTGATTGATTTGAACCTCTACAATCAAGCTATTACGAAACTTATGCAACAAAGGTGACATCATGAGTACTATGTCAAGGAGAAAGACATCATGCTATTTGATATTAAAAAAGATTTTAAGAAAGAGTTTAAAACAAAGGTAGGTGGTATAGTCAAATAGGGAGTTACATGATATTCTAAAGGCAAGGGAGTTCAACATGAATAAGTGTTACCATGCCTTTATGGAACAGACCCAAAAAGTTGTTTGGAGGAAAATATTTTATGATAATAAGACTAGGCCTAGAGCTTTTTTTGCCATGTGGCTTGCTTGCTAAGATTGGTTGACAACAAAAATCCGTCTAGTCAAGCATGAGATGTTGAATAATGATAAATGTGAATTCTGTGACAAGGAGGAAACTCTGCAGCACCCGTTTTACGAATGAAGGACCATGAAGAACATTTAGAAGAGTGTCTTAAAGTGTCTGAATATTGAGCACGAGCCAACATGAGTTGAATTGGATGATGAATATTTGTAGAAGCGAGAATTGGAGAGCTAAGTTCACCAAGACATCGTTTGATGAAACCATTTATGAATGTTGAAAACATAGAAATGCGAAGGTGTACAAAAATAGTGATAGGAATACAAATATAAAGGAGAAAATAGTAGGAGTTTTAGAGATAATTAGTGGTTCTAGTGTTGTTAGCTGCACCCTTGGGATCGTTTTGTACAAATATTTTTGGGTATACATAATTTCTTATTTTAAAAAAGGTGATTCTAAAAATATAAAATTGATTTTGTCTTTTCAACTCATTTGTTGCATGATAATATCCAATAAAAAATTACTCTGCTTTGTCTATAAATCTTAACACAATATTGTTAGGTTAGAATCCATCGTTCAAATTGAATCTGAACCTTCATAGTTATTGAGTTATTAATGATTATTAGTAGTGGTGACAAACAGACATGTCCGTCTTGTTAAATCTAATTATTAAAAATCAATAAAAAATACGTGGGCAGGATGAGCATAGTTGAATGTGCGAGCCTAAAACATTGTTTTGCCTCGCATTAAAAGTGAGGTGGAATGAGACTGATTCATGGACACTGTATTTTTTAAGTTTAAAAATACAAAATTTATATTAGTGTTTGTGCCCACAAAAACCTACAAAAAATAAGACGAAACGAGACAAACACATTAGAAGGTGAGTTATAAATTTTTAAAAAATAATTCACAATAAGTCTGTTTACAAAAGACTTTATACATTTTGTCTTAAAATTTATAATTCTAGTATGCTATTTACTTGTAATATATTTATAAACATCAAATCTTATTCTGGACCAAAAATATATACATCAGATTCTATTTCATAAAAAAAAATATTTAATTTTATTAATTTTTATAATTATATTAATGATATTATTGAATTGTATTAGTGTGCCAAAGTGTCCAAGCAAGTTGTTTCATATAATATTTCGACTTAGGTCTATTTTAGTAATATTAACTATTTTAAATTTTTATAATTTTTGACTTTGACTTGAAGTGCAAGTTAACATAAATCTATAAATATGAGTAACCCTTATTTTTTAAATAATTAAGTATTGTATTCACGGTTCTAATTCTATTGCAAGTAAATAAGAGAATTTCCACCGTTCGTGAGTTAGATAAAAACTTTGTAGAATCTTTCATTTTTTTTTATTTCTTTCTCAATTGTTCATTGTCATTGTTTGACTGATAACAATCTTAAAATTAAGATTGAATAACAATTTTTTATAAATTGTGGTTGAATTTTAATAAATATAATAACAAAAATAATAATAAAATTATGATGCTATTTCATTATCATAATAAAATTACATTTTATTTAAAAATATCAATATCTTACGTTAACACATTATAAAAAATATAAATAAATATTAAATTCTTAATCTATAATTTATATTTATCTAATATTTTTATGTTAAATGAGATGTCACAATGATGTAAAATTTTTTAGGCCGACAATGTATATCAATTAATATTTAATTATATGGTATAATTCATATATTTTTTTTAAAATTATTTAGTTTTTAAATTTTATTTCATTTTCTGTATAGACAAACTAATTTTTTATAGGAGTATAATTTTTCATATTTTATTGTTGATGGTAATTGGTAATGAAATATTATATTTTCTTCTTTTTATTTTTAATATATTTTTAAGAGAAATTAAAGTTTTTACTACTATTTTTTATATGAAAAGAACAGGTCTTGAATGTATAATTAAAAAAGAGATGTAAATCACGTGAAGCGGTGATTGCTGACGTATGAAAACGCGTTTATCAACAACTACTATTGTGAAAAACCAAAAATTCAATAGTCAAACTTTGTTGAATTCTCAGAATAATCAAACTTAAATAATTAAAACAAGGCGGAAAACAAGGAAAAATAATAAAGTATTCATGTCCTAAATCCCATTAATACCTCACTTTTTGTAAGACTAATTTTTCAATTTTCCAAGACTAAATTAGACTACTATTAGGTTAACAGTTTTTTTTTTGTTTGTTTTTGAAATGTATAATTTTTATTTATTTATTAACTTTATCTCAATGAGACTAATATTTCGAGTCCAAAAAAACTGCCATGATAATAAAAAATTTCTTTAAAATTTTGACATTGTTGTATAATTAAAATTGAATTTGAATCAAACGAGTTAAAATTGAATTTAACTCACTTTCTATTAATAATTCTTAACAAAATGATTAATTGTGTTGTTTTAAAAACAAGATTAGCATTATTATTTACTTTCTCATGTTTTGTATGCAAAAACAATCATTCCTTCACAATTATTATATTTAATTATTATTTAATTTAATTTATAAATTAATTCATTAATTTTTAAAAAATACTCACTCTTATGTTTTCAACAAAAAGAAAAAATTAAGGATTTAATATCCTTTCTGTTTTATATCTTCAGTTGATTTCAACCTCTCAACTTAATAAAGATTAATATTAATCTGTATTATATTAATCAATTTCTTTTTAATTAAGGAAGAACTTAATCATTGATTTTTGAATTAATTAGATGAAAATAGACTATGATACATTTGGAAGAATTAAAAAATTAATATAAACTATTATTAAATTAAGAGAATAAAATGAATTCAAAATTAACATATAAATCAAAATTAAATTTAAAGTTTGATTTAAATGTAATCGGACTAAATCTTTTAAAGTGTATATTTTTAGTGAACATTTTGATACTCTTAAATTTAGATATTAATACTCTTTTTAAATAATATGATTCAATATCACCTCATTTTCTTATTTTATTTTTAAAAAAATTAAAATTTTATCATAATTTATATTAAAATATCAATATTCAAATTTAGTTAGATAATGATACTCTAATCAAATAATATGATTCAATGCCGCTTCACTTTCTTATTTTATTTTAAAATAAATTAAAATTTTATCACAATTTACACTAAAAATATTGGTATTTAAATTTAGTTGGATAACGATACTCTCACCAAATACTATGATTAAATGCCGCGTCACTTTCTTTATTTTATTTTAAAATAAATTAAAATTTTATTATAATTTACACTAAAAATACGGTTATCTAAATTTAGTTGGATAAAGATACTCTTATCAGATAATATGATTCAATGCCGCGTCATTTTCTTATTTTATTTTAAAATAAATCAAAGTTTTATCACAATTTACACTAAAATTATCGGTATCTAATTTAGATTCATGGTTACCAAAAAAATTTACCATCTTTTTTAATATACCTTTGATTTTAGTTGAATATTGATATGGTTATCCAATCAAATAATAATATTTAATACCACAATTTAGTTGAATATCAATATTTTTATCCAATCAAATTTTATTTTATTTTAAAAAAATTAAGAATTTAAATTAATTTACACTAAAAAAAATCAGTATCCAACTAAAAGTCATGAATATATAAGAATTTACCAAATTTTTTAGTTTTTTAAAATATATCAATTAATTTAGAAATTATGCCGTATAAATAAATTGGCATGTTATCACTATTAAACATAACCTATATTTCATTTTCAGACAAAGAAAATGTTTTCTCTTCTAAACACATTTCAACCCTTTTTCAACCGCTGATATTCTTTCTCTTCTTCACCACCACCGTTGGATTTTTCTGAGGTAGAAAACTCTCTCTCTTAAGCTTCTTCTACAAGATTAATTAGTGGTAAGTCTTTGTCATTTTGGTTTTGTATAAACAAGATAGGGTTTTCCATTTTTTTTCCCTTTTTATTTTTACATTTTAATCATATCAAAAACTAACTATGATGACCAGGTACATAATCTACTGTAATTAGTGCAACCTTTCATCAATCATTTGCAGTTTACGGTTTGGTTTGGTTCATTCATCTACTTTGATTATTTGGTTATTTGATTGATTGATTAGTAGTTGTAGTTGTTGTGAGTAGAAAAGGTATAGTGCTTGATTAGTGTTTGATTTAATGCATGAATGAATGGAAGGTTTTGATCAAAGAGGTAGTGGTAGTAATAATCAAAAAAATATTCATGCATTTGGTTCTTCTTCTTCATTAGCTTCACCGCCCAAACCCCCAATTCAATTGAATTCTATGCCTATCAATCAAGTTAATCAAATGGGTTTTCCTGAAAATCACAAAAGTTATAGTATTGGTATACCACCCTCACACCCTAATACCAATACTAGTTTATCACCTAAACTTTCATCCCCTTATCCCCAGTTTATGTCTTCTTCACAATCCCAAACCCATTCTAGGTCTTTCTCTCAGCCCACTTTTCTCTCTCTAGATTCCTTTTCACTGCCTCCATTGAGTCCTTCACTTTATCCTTTAAGTCCCTCCCCTTTTTCGGACTCGGGTTCGAAAGATGTTTCGATGGAGGAAAACTTGGTTGCCACTCATGCCCCTTCGCCTAACCGCGGTCATGCTGTTCAGCACGGACATTGTCTTCCCCCTCGTAAAGGGCATAGGCGCTCTAGCAGTGATACGCCTTTAGGGATCTCGGAATTTGTTAACTCTGGCCCTCAGTCGGGGAGTGATCGTCAGAATTTGGTTTCTGGAGGGGAAAAATTTGGTTCTGAGAAGCCGATTCAGTTGGTGTTGAAGGATAGGAACTCTCTTGATGGATTTGGGAGAGAAAGTTTTAATGCGAGGAAAGAGGATGATGCGGCTGCAATGGATGATTTGTTTAGTGCCTACATGAATTTGGAGAATATGAATAATATGAGTTTTTCTGGTATGGAAGATAGCCGAACTAGTGGTTCGAAGACGGTTGAAAGCAGTGATAATGAAGCTGAGAGTCATGTAAAAGGAATCAGTTCTAAGGGTGCGACTTCAAGCTGTTCAGATGAGAGGAGGGAAGGAATCAAGAGGAGTTCTAATGGAGATATTGTATCCGCTACTCGACATAGGAGAAGTTTCTCATTGGATGGCTCCATTGGAAATTTTTATATTGAAGAGGGATCACCAAAGCTTCCTCCTTTACAAGGTCGAGCTGGTCGACACTCGCCTAGCAATTCAATGGACAGTAGTAGAACAGGGGAAATTGGCATGGAGTTTGGAAAGGGTGAGTTCAGCTCCGAGGAGATGAAGAAAATAATGGAAAATGATAAACTTGCTGAAATTGCCCTGTCTGATCCCAAGCGTGCGAAGAGGTAAGATTGGTATTTCTCTATTCCTTGTTTCTGTGTCTTTCTTGTGAAAAAAAATTAAAAAGTAAAACTATAATGACTCGTCATTAATGTTGAATTCTCTTATAGGATTTTGGCCAATCGTCTATCAGCTGCTCGCTCTAAAGAGCGGAAGACGAAATATATTTCTGAATTGGAGCACAAGGTCCAAACTCTTCAGACAGAGACTACTACATTGTCTACTCAGTATACCAAATTACAGGTGCGTATCATCTGAGTTGAGCTGAGATTCCCTTTTCTTCGGATTGTGAATCGTATTTTATTGGCATAAATCACGTAGGCTACCATTAATTCATTGATTCTTTACTTTTTTATCGTACCTGTATCCAGATGGATCACGCGGAGCTTAAGAATGAGCATAACGAGTACAAATTGAGGCTTCAATCTTTGGAACAACAGTCCCAACTGAAAGATGGTATGTGTATGCATTTTCCTTCTATTTTATGTTTTGGTTAGCTTAAATCTATTTTAACGTATTCCTCCCTTTGAAGTGTAAACTGCTCATTTTTTTAAGTGGTTGATTGTGTTTTTTTTTTAACCTGCATATATGATCATGCTCCAAGATGTCTGTTTTTCTCTATTTAGATGGATTTTATGCAGAATAATTGTATTTTACTTTGATATTTTTATGTTTGAATGTAGTAATTCAATTTTTTGTTGAAACTCTGAAATGGTTGTTGTTAACCATCGAAAGAACAAATGATTTTTGATCCAATCTTGCACCTTTTACGTTTTCGTGCCTAGCGTAAGAGTTCGATTTCATCTTCCGTAATATCTGCATATTTGGAACCCAATTGCTTTTTTGTACTGGTACTACTATTGTTCCGCAATACGCTATCGGGTACAAATGTTGTCAAATCGACACTATAGCAGCTTGGACATGATTCTATTTATCTCCATTTCACCACCATCCCTTTAGAAGCACTTTTCTATTTTGATTTTGTGCTGAAATTGAACATCTCCAAATATTTAGCTGTATTCATCTGTGTTCTTATTTTGGCAGCTCTGAACGAGACTTTGGATGCTGAAGTCCGGCGCTTAAGACGCACCGTAGCAGATCTTGGCGGAGAGTCCCTCCTCTCTAGTCTCATGACTCGGCAGCTAGTTATTAACCAGCAAATGCTCCAGTCACAGCAACAGCAGCCAAACCAGCTTAGAAACTTTCAACCGCAAAACAGCCAATCTCAGGAAGAAACACCGACACAGATGCAGCAGAATATTCAACGCAATCATGAATTCCAAACCAAGCATCAGAATGGCAAAACTACTGCATAATCTTGCAGTAAATGGTACAAAACCAATTCATGATATATGGTTGCCCTTGATTTTCAAACTCTTGCTAAAATATAATATATTTTTATATGTAGCTGATGGCTTATAATCAGTTGTATATTAAGCAGTGAACTACACCAGTTTGCCTATTTAGGCCTGTTCATCATCTCTAGACTTTAGTTTAAAATAATTTCCTTCTAAATAATTTGTTTTACCCATGTTGAACTGGGAATGCCTTTTCATGTTAGTGTATACCTTTTTGGTCATAATATTATGGATACATTATACACACACATCTTGGTATTTACTTTTGTTAAATGAGTTCAGCTATATGTTGAAATTTGAATGGTTCAACTAATAAAATGTTTAATGTCAAAGTACTTGATAATAGAGAATTTAAATATAAAAATGCTATTGTCGGTGTTGAATAAATTTAGAATTGAATGAAAATCGAACATGTGCTTGTTTTGAATTAGTTTAGAATAAAATGAAAAATGTCAAAGTCATAAAACAAAAAACACAATATAAGAATCCCTCTACATGCAGCACACATTTGACAATGAATTTACTCTTTTAAGAATCATTATTTATGTACAGTAAGTCATGCACATTCTTGACTAAATGATTTTTTTTTAGCAATATATCCAATCCAAAAAATAATATGGCAAATATGATAACTTTTTTATGAATAAATATTATTTAGCATTGAAATTTCAAGGCATGCAATAAAACAGAACAAATAGTCAATAATACAAAGTTACATGTAAAACAGAACAAATAGTCAATAATACAAAGTTACATGTACAAACACTAAGGTTTTCTTTTCCTAGGAACAAGATAAAGATCAATTTTCTTATGCATAGTAATTCCTGGTTTCACTTCTGTATCCAATACCTCTTCCTCATCAAAACCACAAGGTAATTTCCAATCAAAACAATGAAGAATATTAGCAAGTGAAAGTTCAACAGTCACAACTCCCATGTTCATTGCAGGACACATTCTTCTTCCACTTCCAAATGGAATAAACTCAAAATCCTTTCCTTTAAAATCCACTCCGGTCATAAAGAATCTTTCGGGATAAAACTCTTCTGGATCTTCCCAATTCTCATAATCTCTTGCTATGGCCCATGCATTAACATATACTAGAGTTTTTCGCTTAATCTCATAACCATCTATGTTACAATTTTCTAATGTTTCTCTTGGTAGTAGTAATGGTGTTGGAGGGAATAATCTTAATGTCTCTTTCACCACTAATTTAAGATAAGGTAGCTTTTCAATATCATCTTCATTTATGAAATCTTTGTCTTCATATAAGTTTGTCATTTCCATTTGAACTTTTTTCATCACTCTTGGATTGTTCATCAATGCTGTCATAGCCCAAACCACTATTGCTGCACTTGTGTCTGTTCCTGCTATAAAGATATTCTGCATATATAAAATATGAATATGTTTTAATTAACTCATAAACATGACAACATACAATATCATAGGAGGGATGAGTTCATACCATAAGCAAAGCTTTAATGTTGTCGAGAGTGAGATCAAAAGATAGTGAATGATCATTCATCATCTGCAATAAAATATCAATGATATCAACTACTTCATGATCCTTAGTTTTAGGCCATGATGAATTCTCCATATGGTCATCAATGACTTTTTGGTATATCAAATCCAACTCTTTGAAGGTTTTTTCAAGCCTCCATATAGTGCCTCTAACTCTATCAACCCAACCTAACAATGGAAAATGATCTGAAAAATAAAATTCACTTAACAAAGCTTGAGCTTCATTAAGCAAAACATGTAATCTACTTTTCCTTTCTCCACTTCCCAATTCAACTTCTCCATAATCAAAATCATACTTTTTCCCAAAAGCTATCTTACATATAAGTGTATTGGTGAAAGACATCATTGCTTCACTCAAGTTAACACCTTTGTCATCACCTTCATATTGTGACAACTTTTGAATCAATAGGGCCACTTCATTTTCTCTAATGGACCTAAAAGATTCAACACGCCGAGAACTAAAGAGATGAAGAACACAGAGTTTTTTCATTTCTCTCCAATAAGGACTATAAGGTGCAAAACCCAAATCTAAACCATTGTATGACAACTTTCTCAGTCCTAGAAAAGATGGTCTACTTGCAAACTTAAGGTCGTGAGTTTTCAACACATGTTTTGCCATTTTTGATGAGGAAATAACTAAGGTTGGTGTATTGCCAAAGTGCAAAGACATGATAGGTCCATAGTGTTTGGAGAGTTTCCATAGGGAAAGATGTGGGGATGAACTATCAATTTGGTGTAGATTTCCTAGTAGAGGAAGAGGTGTTGGGCCAGGTGGAATTGATGAGGCTCTTGTTTTGTGTTTGTGGATAATGAATAGAATAAAGATTGGTAATAGTAGTAGATAAACAAGCACAAGAGTATCCATGGCGTAACCTTGCAAATGTATCCCTAACTTCTTCTACATTTATAAGGCTGGTCAAGTTTTGGACGGTGTAGCCAAGGTGACATGGATAATCTGCTAACAATAAGCTTTTGTTTTTTTGTTGTCAGAATTTCCCATGACTCCAAATTTTGAAAACTGAACGGAATAATTATGAGGATATTGTGTGCCAATGAAATAACTTTGAACACGTAACGAAACCTGCAACATTTAGTAATGTCTCTTTCTTGAGTTAAAATCATCTCTGTTTTTGTTTGTCTCCATCTTTTCATTATTATTATAATTTTGTGGAAATAAAACACATTTCTAAAATATGCCACACAGATTTAGTTTTTTATTTTACCCTTAACACATAAAATTAAAACTATAACTATAGTAATAGAATTTTATATATAGTAATATGAAACTAGAATTTTATATTTAGTTTCATTTTCAAAGTTGTGATATTGGTGTTTATCAACTTATTAGTTGATCATTTATTATCATGCGACTTTCTGCACTACTTTTGGATGATGACGGATGTCTTATAAGTGTTATACTTTAGCATGTTCTATATACGTTTACCAATATCAATATGATTGTAGGAGGTGTCGTGTTTGACGGGTGTGGAAAATACAACAAAGTTGTTGTTGGTCCTGCTAATGCTGTTCAAATTGAACAAAACCTTGTTTCCAAGCAAAATTGGTGTGAGACATTGGATCGAATTCTAGTGTGATCGAAGTCTGTTCGCAAGTAATGCGTGTTGTAGTCGAAGTTTGTTCTAACATGCATGAGTAAATATTGCTAAGGTTGTTAGCATGAGTAAATATTGCTAAGGTTGTTAGCATGAGTAAATATTGCTAAAGTTGTTAGCATGAGTAAATATTGCTAGGGTTGTTAGCATGTGCTATTTTATTATAAATAGGATGCTAGTTTCTCAATCTTGGCATAAGGAAAAATAGGAAGATAAAATCCTAATTTCAAGGGAGAGAGGTTATTTTGTTATTCTTGTATATTTGTAATCTTGTTCTAAGAGAAAGGAAAGAATAACACTTTAATAACCAATCCTTGTTGTTCCTTTTTGCTTTCTTCTTTATTAACCCTAACTGTTGTGTGTTTCTTCATAAGAACTCGTTTATACTTTGTTTAAAAGGTATCCGATTCACAACAAATTGGTGCGGTGAGCGTGGAGAAGATGCCTTCAACAAATTATGAGATTGAAAAGTTCACCGGAGTGAACGACTTCGGCCTGTGACACTTGAAGATGAAAGCTCTATTGGTTCAGCAGGGTTGTTTGGAAGCGTTGAAGGGTGAGGCAGCCATGGACGTTGCGTTAATGGCAAAAGAAAAGACGGACATGATCGAGAAAGCCCACAACGCAATATTGTTGAGCCTTGGTGATAAGGTTCTTCGACAGGTATCAAAGGAGACTACAACATCGGGATTATGGGTGAAACTTGAAAGTTTGTACATGACCAAATCTCTGGTGAATCGACTATACCTGAAGCAAGCTTTATATTCATTCAAGATGAGTGAAGACAAAGTGTTGGCTGAGCAGTTGGATATGTTCAACAAGCTGATTCTTGATCTTGAAAATATTGATGTGAAGATCGATGATGAAGATCAAGCACTGTTGCTGCTGTGTGCTTTGCCCAGAACACATGCTCACTTCAAAGAAACTCTCTTGTATGGAAGGGAGTCCCTGACCTTTGAAGAAGTTCAATCAGCCTTGTATTCTAAGGACTTGAACGAACGAAAGGAGCATAAACCTTCGACGGTGGGCGAAGGTTTGGCCGTTAAGGGAAAATTCTTGCGAAAGGATGGTAAGTTCGACAAGAAAAAAGGTAAAAGTCAACAGAAGTCTTATAGTGGCGAAACATCTAGTATTCGATGTTACCACTGTAAGAAGGAGGGTCACATAAGAAAGTTGTGCCCTGAACGCCTGAAAGATCATGGAGGTAATGGCAATGCAGCCATTGTTCAAGATGACTTCGACTCATCTGATGTTCTTGTGGTTTCAAGTGGCGACTCGAGGAAAGAGTGGATTATAGATTCAGGTTGCACTTGGCACATGACTCCAAACAGAGAATTGTTCGAGGAGCTATGTGATCAAGATGGTGGACCTGTGCTGTTAGGAAACAACAAATCTTGCAAAATTGCAGGTATTGGATCTGTGAGATTCAAGCTCCATGATGAGTCAATAAGGTTATTGACTGAAGTCAGGTACGTACCTGACTTGAAGAGAAATTTGATTTCTCTTGGTGAATTCGACAGAAAAAGATATGTTTTTCAAGGAGAGAAAAGTATCCTAAGAGTCATGAAGGGGTCGAAGGAAGTCTTGAGAGGCGTGAAGAAACAAGGCTTGTATACCCTTGAGGCTGAGGTTGTAAGTGGTTCGACAAATGTTGCATCCACGAAATCTATGTCGAAGACAGAATTATGGCACATGAGATTGGGCCATGTCAGCGAAAGATGCCTGGTCGAATTGGGGAAGCAGAACCTGCTAGGAGGTGACAAAGTCGAAAAGTTGGAATTTTGTGAATCTTGTGTATTTGGTAAATCCTGTAGGGCGAAGTTTAACAAAGGCAGGCAAAGAACACATGGATCCCTGGATTACATTCATGCTGATCTTTGGGGGCCTGCAAGGAATCCTTCACACTCAGGTGCAAGGTATTTTCTATCCATCGTTGATGACTATTCCAGAAAACTATGGGTATTCATTCAGAAGACGAAGGATGAAACTTTTGAGAATTTCAAAAGTTGGAAGATTCTATTCGAAACTCAGACTGGCAGAAAGGTTAAGAGGTTGAGAACCAACAATGGCCTTGAATTTTACAACGAAGCTTTCGACAGTTACTGTGTTGGGTCTGGGATTGCAAGGCATAAGACTGTAGCAGGTACTCCTCAACAAAATGGCTTAGCTGAGAGATTCAATCGAACAATCCTTGAAAGGGTTAGATGCATGTTGGTTAGTGCTGGATTGAAGAAGGTGTTTTGGGCGGAAGCTGTTTCGACAGCAGCTTACCTGATAAATAGATGTCCCTCGACTGCCTTGGGAATGAAGACACCTGAAGAAGTTTGGTCGGGACATCCACCTAGTCTCGACAGACTGAGAGTATTTGGTTGTGTGGCCTATGCTCATATTAGGCAAGACAAGGTCGAACCTAGATGATCGGTGGATTTCAGTTGTGTTTTCAAACGCTGTTTGTGGTTAATTTCGCAATGTTTTTATCTAGTTTTCGAAGCTTTAGTTGTTATTATCTGCATTACTCGTAGTTGTGTGTCTTCGAGTCTTATTTTTAAGTTTATGTTGCTTTTGCCGCTGATGCGTTTGATTTGGTTTCTTTTAGTGTGTTTTTGGCAGGAATGGATAGCACAACAATCGCACCGCATTCGGAGGCAAAGAAAAGTCGAAAAAGGGAAATCAGAGCTGCAACACGGGTACCCGTGTTGCACAACACGGCCCGTGTCATGAAGGACACGGTTGGCAGACACGGGTGGACCAAAGCAGAAGAAAAAAGAAGACTCAGACTTGCAACACGGGTGCCCGTGTCATGCAACACGGCCCGTGTTGCAGCCCTTGGAGAGGAGACACGCCCTGAAGAAGCCAGCATCCTGACACGGCCACCCGTGTTGCACAACACGACGCGTGTCAGGGCCACTGAACGTGAAATTTCTTTGTTTTCTGATTTTTTGCTGTCAGACCTATTTCGAAGGGCATTTGAGACATTTCTCTATGTAATTTGAATTGAGATATAAGAGGCACATTTTAGAAAGTAGAAAACACTTTTGAATTGATATTAGGATTGACAACTGAGAGGAGAGTTCGGCTGGGAAACAGAGGATCGATCAAAAGCGGAAGCAATTGATGATCCAAGGATTTCAACTTGCATTGTAATGATCTTTTCCTTTTCAATTCTAATTACTTTTATGTTTACCAAGAACATGAGCAGCTAAACTCCACGTTGTTAGGGGGTGGTTCTAAGTGCGATGTAATGACTTGTGTTTAATTATTCTATGAGAACTATGTTTTTACCTTGATTTATTTTATTTTGCATTAATCGTAATCGTATTCATATTGGAAAGTAGAATTCAAATCGTGCTTAGGCTTTAGTCTGGAAAGTCAACCTGACACTTTTGCAAAATAGTATCACGGTCGATATTGCTTAGGAATGAGGATATCCCGTATCACGTATTTTATGGTCGAAACTATTGCTTGATGCTTTTCAGGGACACTGAGGAATTAGTGTACAAGCAAATCATCAAAGGGTTTTCCTTAAGGAATTAAGGCAACTAAAGTGGCCAACTGATAAATTAAGGTTAATAACGAGGATAGTAGAATAATCATACATGGTCTTTACTCGCATCGACTCCACTCCCCTAACACTGTTCTTAGATTGATTAATTAAGTTTGTATTTACTTATTATATTACTCTGCTACCAAACAAACCACTAGACCTTTTGTTCATTTGAATCCTAAAAATTCCGTTAATTACTACGCAGTCCTCGAGATCGATACTTGGGACTTTTCCCTTATTACTACAATTGGTAAAAATAGTACACTTGCTATTTTCCCGATCAAGTTTTTGGTGCCGTTGCCGGGGACTGCCAAATTAACATTGTTTTTAGAATCCAAAAGAAATTTTGTTGCTCTGCGACTAAAATTTTATTGTTTACTGCATAACTTTTATCCGCTTATTATCTTACGCTTGTCTAATTGTGTATGCGAGGTCAGGCCTCAGCTAAATATTCTTTTGATACAGAACCAGAACGAGCATTACACGAAAGACGGAGATTAGCTAAAGTTAAAAGACTGGAAGAAATAGAGGAAATTATATCTGTGCAGAGCGACTCCGAAGAGAGAGAGAGAGGGACAACACCTGAAACTGCTCAAATGGCTGGAAATCCACCTCATCCTGAAAGACTGCTAGGAGACTATGGAGGGGCCAATGCTCAACCAAACCGGATGACCGTTGTGAATCAACCGGTGAATGCTACGCATTTTC